TCAGGAGGCTGAGGCAGGAGGATTGCCTGAGCCCAGGAGTCTGAGGTTGCTGTGAGCAAGGCTGATGCCATGGCACTCTCTCTAGCCTGGGCAACAAAGCGAGACTCTGTCTCAAAAAAAAAAAAGAAAACCACTGCTATAAACTAATCTGAAGAACTCTTAGCAACCTCTAACTCAGCTTCCTGGTAAAAAAACCCAGCTTCATTTTTTTCTGTTCCAGCTAGTTATTTATGATTTTTCTAGAGGAAGACACAGTTTCCCAGCACTCTGTTCCCCTGTGTGTCCAGACAGGGGGTGAATTTCCCTTAACTTACTCTCAGATTTTTTTTTTCCTGCCAAGTTTTTTGCTGGCTTTCTTACAAAGAACTTTGAGAAACTCAAATGTAATACATATTTACTGTTGAGAACTGGAAAATACAGAAAAGCTCAGGGAAGAAAATTTAAAATTTGCCTTCAAACCACGTAATCACTGATAACATAATTTTGGCGATTATTCTTACAGCCTTTTAGTCTTTTTCTCTTTCTGCCTCTGTGTAGAATTTATGTATGTATATATACACACATGCATTTGTATAAAATTTTAAGGAAAACTCCTTGTTTTCAGATGAGAACATTGATCTTTTTCAGATCAGAACATAATATTTTTCCCCTTGCTTTAAGCACCTAGTCCTTTGCAATTTCTCCTCATTTATGCATGGCTCCACCTTACAGCTCAAGTTCTGAGGTCTATGCTGATTAAGGTCATTCCTTCTTGGTATTGTTTTTGAAATACAGCAAATGAGCCCTGTTCTCTTGTCAAAGTATAGCTTTTTTTTTTTGAAACAGAGTCTCACTTTGTTGCCCAGGATAGAGTGAGTGCCATGGCGTCAGCCTAGCTCACAGCAACCTCAATCTCCTGGGCTCAAGCAATCCTCCTGCCTCAGCCTCCCGAGTAGCTGGGACTACAGGCATGCGCCACCATGCCTGGCTAATTTTTTCCTATATATATTAGTTGGCCAATTAATTTCTTTCTATTTATAGTAGAGACGGGGGTCTCGCTCTTGCTGAGGATGGTTTCGAACTCCTGACCTCGAGCAATCCGCCCGCCTCGGCCTCCCAGAGTGCTAGGATTACAGGTGTGAGCCACCGGGCCGGGCCTAAAGTATAGCTTTAACAACATTGAAAACATAACTCTCATAAAAGTGAGCATGTACCCAAGATATACTTCACTTGTTAATAAAGGACCCAGCAGGATGGTAAAAATGGTACAAAAGAGAATTAGAGGAAAAGGGATCACATGGTCCATCAGGAAAAGCATACTAAAATCAGTTTGCTAGGTGAGAGACAAAGCTGATTAATATCCTACAGGGCAATAAAACCGTAACCCTTGGGGTTATCTTTTTCTCCCAGACAAAAATCATTTGTATCTCTACCAAACCAAATCCTACAAGTTAGAACATAACTTTATAGACTCTGGGCCTATATCAACAGTGAAGTTCAAGTCAAACAATGGTGCATTCTCCAGATGGTGAAACAGTCCAGGGTGGTCTGTTAGTGCTCCAGCGTGCATTGAAGGGACTTGCAGCCTTCTTTTTTTTGCCAAGTTTGGGATAATTATTCTTAATATCCTCATTTTTTCCCTATAGAACCCCAAGCAAATTCTGCACAATATTTCCCTAAGGGAAAGTGGACAAGATTTTTGTACTTCCTTGTCATCTTTCATCTTCCTCTCCTCTACTCACCCTCTAAGAAGGTGAGACCAGTCCCCAGGGACTGGGATATTTCCAGTTAGTTACTGCACGTGACCTGGTTTCCTCTTCCCTATGGCCTGCCTTCCTTCTTTCCTTCCTTCCTTCCCTCCCTCTCCTCCTCTCTCACTACCTTTCTTTCTTCTTTCTTCCCTTCTTAACTGCTTTCATTTTTAAACATATATAACTTCTGTTGAGATATAATTCATATATATACATGCTCATTTAAAGTGCACAATTCAATGGTTTCTAGTATATTTTCAGAGCTGTACAATCAGTTTTAGAACATTTTCATCACCCTCAAAAGAAACCCAATATTCATTAGTCCCTGTTTCCACCCAGCACCTGGCAAGTGGTGATCTCTATGAATTTACCTGTTGTCTCTATGGATTTGTCTATTCTGGAAATTTCCGATAGATGGAATTGTACACTATGTGGATCTTTTGTGTCTGGTTTCTTTCACTTAGCATAATGTGTTCAAGGTTCATGTTGTTGCATGTATCATTACTTCATTCCTTTTCATTGCCAAATAATACTCCATTGGATAGATACACTGCATTTTATGTGTCCATTAATCACTTGATGAACATATGAATTGTTTCCATTTTTTGGCTATCACGAGAAATGCTGCTATAAACATTCATTATACGTTTTTCTGGGGACATATATTTTAATTTCCCCTTGGCATATATCTAGGAGTGGAATTTGTGGGTCATATGGTAGCTCTATATTTAACCTTTCTAGGAGCCATCAAGCTGTTTCCCTAAGTGGCTGCACCATTTTACATGGCCACTAGCAGTGTATGAGGGTTCTAATTTCCCCACGTCCTTGTCCACATTGTTATTATCTGTCTTTTTTATTATAGCCATCCTAGTGCATTAAAAGCCATCCTAGTGGGTTAGAAGTAGTATCTCATTGCGGTTTTGTGGCCTCGTTTCTTAAACCAATCTTGCACAGAAACCAATTTTGCACCCGATCTGAGGCACCCAGAGTCATGGCATTAGGTTGTAAGTTTCTATTAGTGGGTTGAGGCTGATCAGTGAGTGAAGTCTGCCCTGCTGAGGCATCCTAGAGATGGCAGCACCCAAAGGGGCAGGGCAGCTAGACCAGGCCCTACCCACCTTGGGTGGTGATCTTTTGGCCACACTGGAATCAGGTTCTTGCAGTAAATAGAGGCAGTAAACACCAAGGATTGTCTTGTGAAGCAGAATAGAGAGAGAAGAATGCAGCCTGGCCCTGTGCCCGGCCACTTCCGGGAGGTCCCAGTAAGGTGTCATTTGAGGGTTGCCCAGAGCAAAATGACCTCCTTTGCCACCCTGCCATACTGTCTGAGATCCCACCACATTCTCAGAAGTAGGTAGATGAGGTGCCGCCTTTTAAAATAATGTGAGTCCTGCTGGGAGGGGCAGGCATCTTGCAAGAAGTCAATACCTCATTGTGAATTAGCTTATCAGTGCCAGCCCCACGCCCTGCAGGGACAGGACTCAGAGGAAGTGGGAGTTTTGACTCATTGGGAAGGGTGGGGGCGGGATAGGAGGGAGCTGTGGTTGAAAAGAAGGGGGGGGGCTCTGCTCAAGGGGTAACATTCCAGAATGCCAGGATGGGGCTAGAATTGGGTCAATAGGGATAAGGAAAGTTTTCATCTTCATTCATCAATAGACAAACAGTGGTAATGATGTAGTTTATTACATGCTACAGGTTGTGCTGAGTGTTTTGCAGACAGTTTTCTATATTATTTATTCTTTAACAAACACTTATATAGCATGTGTGGCACCATCTATCTCTCAAACGCCACATTCAACTTCCTGTTGGCTCCCCCTAAAAAAAGATTCTTGAATCTGAGCATTTCTCACCACCTTCCCAACCTTGTCATCACTTCCCTCTTTCCTGCAGGTCTCCCGTGGGTCTCCCAACTTCCACATTTGCAGTCAGAGCAATACTTTGTAAAGTGATGTCTCTCTTGTAACCCAAATGCTCCAGTGGCTTCCTATCTTGGTCACTACAGAAACCAAAGTCCTTACAATGGTCTGTAAGTTGCTACCTGGCTGGCATGATTGGCCTATGGGCTTGGCCATGGGACTGACTCCCGCTGTCCTCAGACACGCCAGCACGCTCCTGCTCAGGGCCATTGCAACTACTGCCCTGTCCTGCCAAGAACCCGCTGCCCCCAGCGTCTGCCTGGCTGATGCCCTTCCTTCCTTCCAATCTCAGCTTAAATGCCACCTCCTCTGAGAGGCCTTTCCTAATACTCCCTCCTTCATCTACAAGAGCCCTGCATTGCCAGCTTACTTACTCACGGCCAGAAAAGAGGGTTACAAATATAGAAAGGGAGAAAACTGGAATGAATTCTATGGTGTTAGATCAAAATTGGAGATAGGGAATGGACTCATGGTTTTCAATACACATAGATAAATATAGAAATAAACAAAGATATAAATTGGGTGTGTGCGTATAAATATACATATACACATGCATACATTCTGTAGTTCAGGCCACTTGAGAGGGCCTGGAAGTGGCAGTAGTCTCATTACAATGAGTACACTCATGCCCAGATCTTGACTTCTAAACACTGTTCTCCACTAAAAGGAATCAGGACTTTTTGGAGCAATGATCAATTCCAGGGCTGGGGCAGGAAAAGTGCAAGATAAGCCTGGAGCATCTTTTGTGCCAAAAAATAAAATAGGTCTCAAAGGATGATGGGACATGACAAAGGATTCAGAAGCCAGGTGGAAGGGGCTCCCACTGGCCAAATAAGGGACAATTTGAGCATCAAAATAATTTAATCATCATGATAATAGCTGATTATAACTCATTGTATAAAATAGGATCCATGAGTCCATAATAATATAAATAAGTAGAAATTTAGATGAGGACCAGGATAATTATTGAATACATAGTTTTCAAAATATCTCACCTCAAAGTACATATTCAGCCGGGCGCGGTGGCTCACGCCTGTAATCCTAGCACTCTGGGAGGCCGAGGCGGGCGGATTGCTCGAGGTCGGGAGTTCAAAACCAGCCTGAGCGAGACCCCGTCTCTACTAAAAATAGAAAGAAATTAATTGACCAACTAAAAGTATATATACAAAAAAAAAATTAGCCGGGCATGGTGGTGCATGCCTGTAGTCCCAGCTACTCGGGAGGCTGAGGCAGGAGGATCGCTTGAGCCCAGGAGTTTGAGGTTGCTGTGAGCTAGGCTGACGCCACGGCACTCACTCTAGCCTGGGCAACAAAAGTGAGACTCTGTCTCAAAAAAAAAAAAAAAAAAAAAGTACATATTCATTAAAAAGATTTAAAAAGCAACTATACCATGGAGAAATCTGGCAGACACCACCCTGATAATAAACTGAAGTTAATATCTCCAGTAACGTGACAAAGAAAATTGTATGCCACCTGGTAGGATACAGTAAGTACACAGTTTCATTTCTGTAATATTTCCGCCAAAGATAAATATCTGAATCAAATGATGAAGAAACATCAGATAACCCCAAATTGAGGAATATTCCACAAAATAACTGGCCTACAAGCTACAAAAAGACACTGAGGAACTGTTCTAAACTGAATGAGAGTAAAGAAACATGACAACTAAATGCTGCATGTGGTTCTGGAGTGGATCTTTTTGTTGTAAAGGACATTATTGGGGCCAGTGGCAAGATTCGAATGGAGTCTCAGGATTGGACAGTCATAATGCATAGATGCTTGACTGAAAGATGGTTCCAGCAATGACACTGATGTCTAGTGTGGTTGCAAACAATGCCACCTTCTCCCAACCATCGTTCTCCACTGTTGTCTGTCTCTTCCACTTTCTCAATGGAGGGATGGGTCATCACCTTAGGCATATGGAATTTCAGCCTTCTTGGGTTTAATAGTGCTTTCTAGCTTGGCAGATCATTCATGGGCACTTCTGTTACACTCTGTGCTCTTGTGGGCATCAGAGCTGGCATAGGGCCCCATCATTAATATGTGGTCTTTCCGTGTCATCTTCCAGTCAAACGTGAAGACTTCTGCAAGCATCCAGAATGGTGTGCTTCCTAAAACAAAAAGTAGAGCTTGCATTTGCAACATCTAACGTTTTCCTTCAGGGTAGAGCAGCTAGTGTCTATTGGGGAAAATAAAACGCCATTAAATCTCAGGCTCAGAGTAAGGGCTGGAATATAGGAGGAAAAAGCAAAACCTTAGGATTCCTCCTGATTCTTTTGCCCACAACAATCAGAGCAGATGGCCTTTCTGGAGAGCAAACTTTCTTGCTTCAAAATAACACCAACTGTCACGTGACAAGCAGACATCTGTGATTTCCACTGGTGACAAAGTTACAGGTACTGTGAATACTGCCATGTTTTGTTTGGTTTTTCACTACGTCCATAATGGGAGGAAATGCCAAATTTTACTTAGAGGTTAATGAATAACGATGTAATTTTCTTTTGACCAAGTTTATGAGCCCACTGAGCTCTAGCCACTGACCCAGGTTAAGGACCCCTGAGTTAGCATGTGGTGAGTCTGAAAGCCCAGAGATCACTGTGGAAAAGGCTCCTGCCAAACGCCCAGGTAGGAACTGGCTTAAATCGGGGCTGGAGCTGTGGGCACCAAGTCAAGAGTGTGGAAGCCAGCGGCCATCTGGACAGAAAGTCAGCTGCACTTGGTGCTAGACGGGATGTGGGTGTTGATGGTGATTCTGGACAGTTTGGTTGGACCAAGAGATAATAGGGAAGAGCAGTTTGGCAGCAAAATGAGTGTTTTCCAGGCATGATGGCTTTGCTGGGGGCATGGGGGCCTGCTACTGTAGGGCTTAGTCCACTCCCCTCCAAATGCCCACTCCAACCAAGGGGAGTGGGTGTGTCCTGCAGGAAAATGCTATCTACCCTCCAAAATACCCCTCACCATCTTAGTCCTGACCCTGTTTAAAATTCAAACCCCTTGAGAAGCCAGGGGCAATGGCTCACATGTGTAATCTCAGCACTTTGGGAGGCTGAGGTGGGAGGATTGCTTGAACCCAGGAGTTTGAGGTTATAGTGAGCTATGATCATGCCACTGCACTCCAGCCTGGGCAACACGGGGAAACCCTGTCTCAAAAACCAATGGAGCCGGGCGCAGTGGCTCACGCCTGTAATCCTAGCTCTCTGGGAGGCTGAGGCGGGCGGATTGCTCAAGGTCAGGAGTTCGAAACCAGCCTGAGTAAGAGCGAGACCCCCGTCTCTACTATAAATAGAAAGGAATTAATTGGCCAACTAATATATATACAAAAAATTAGCCAGGCATGGTGGCGCATGCCTGTAGTCCCAGCTACTTGGGAGGCTGAGGCAGCAGGATTGCTTGAGCCAGGAGTTTGAGGTTGCTGTGAGCTAGGCTGACGCCACGGCACTCACTCTAGCCTGGGCAACAAAGCGAGACTCTGTCTCAAAAAAAAAAAAAAAAAACCAATGGATCAGCCAGGCACGGTGGCTCAGGCCTATAATTCTAGCACTCTGGAAGGCCAAGACAGGAGGAGGATCGATCGTTTGAGCTTAGGAGTTTGAGACCAGCCTGAGCAAGAGTGAGACCATGTCTCTACTAAAAACAATAGAAAGAAATTAATTGGCCAATTAAAAATATATAGAAAAAAATTAGCCAGGCATGGTGGCGCATGGCTGTCGTCCTAGCTACTCGGGAGGCTGAGGCAGAAGGATCGCTTGAGCCCAGAAGTTTGAGGTTGCTGTGAGCTAGGCTGATGCCACAGCACTCTAGCCTGGGCAACAGAGTGAGACTCTGCCTCAAAAAAAAAAAAAAAAAAAAAGGCCAACCGAATAAACAAAACCTCTTCGCGATAACTGTTGTTCACATTTTAGTCTGAATGAGTTTATCCTTCCTTCCCCGAGAGTATTAGGACAGAATAAGTTCACTGAGCTTCTGGGTGGGTGTTGGGGGGGAATTCTAAAAATGTGCTTCCTTTCCCAGCTGGATGAAAAGGGTCCCCACTACAACACCCAGCAGAAATTTTGCATTTCTATGGCCCTCCTGCCTGGGAGTGGCTGCACCGCCGCACCCTATTCCCCTCAGGGGCACTCTGTCATTGGAGGACGGAGTGGGACACATTGTAAGGATAATATGGACAAAAAAGAATAAAAAAGTGATATCCCTAGGGAATTTATGTGCAAATGCACCCAAGTGGAGTGCAGCCAATTGGCCCCTAATCCACATGTTTTATTCACCTGTCTGGAACCTCAAAGATGCTCAAAGGTGACAGTCCAGCATTCTGTTAAATTAAACAAAATTTGGCCTGAGGATGCCTCCATACTTAAGTCTTTATTTTTTTTTTTTTTTTTTTTTTTCTTTGTTGTCCAGGCTAGAGTGAGTGCCGTGGCGTCAGCCTAGCTCACAGCAACCTCAATCTCCTGGGCTCGAGCAATCCTACTGCCTCAGCCTCCCGAGTAGCTGGGACTACAGGCATGCGCCACCATGCCCGGCTAATTTTTTATATACATATCAGTTGGCCAATTAATTTCTTTCTATTTTATAGTAGAGACGGGGTCTCACTCAGGCTGGTTTTGAACTCCTGACCTTGAGCAATCCGCCCGCCTCGGCCTCCCAGAGAGCTAGGATTACAGGCGTGAGCCACCGCGCCCGGCCCATACTTAAGTCTTTATGTAACAAAATGCAACCTACCTTAGCAGGTGAACCACTGAAAGCCTGACTTTACGAGTATTCTTTTGTAACAAATAGCCGGGTCTCAGGCGATCACAGCAGCCAAGCTCCCGTCAATCCCAGGCGGCCAACTGATGAGACCACGTTCAAAGAAAGCAAACGCCAAGCTGTAACCAATTGAACTGTCTTTGAACCTCACTTTCATTTTTCTGCCTATAAATGCTGCCTGACCACCTCGCAAGCCAGAGATCTCTGAACCTGATCTGGTTCTGAGGGCTATCCAACACTAGAATCATTCTTTGCTCAGTTAAACTCTGCTAAATTTAATTTGTCTAAAATTTTTCTTTTAACAATTCCCGGTGGACTCCTTGGATTACAGAGAAAACCCAAGACCCCAATTTTTTACACTCTACCTCTTCCTAACTGGTGAAAAGCCCCCATTAACACTCAAGTTGTTGGGGAGGAGGATAGAATAGTCAACAGCCTGAAATTACCCATTTTTTTTTTTGCTGATTATAAAAGTAAAATCTTATGATTCTGAGGCCCAAAATCATTTACTCTATTTCCCTCCAGTTCTTTTCATATGCATTTGTTACATACCTGAGATCTTACCTACTAAATATATGTGTACACTTTAGTATCCTGCTTTGAAACAAAGCAAAGCAAAACAAAAGAATATAGGTTGTATCATATATTGTATTGCATAGAAAAAGGTGTGGAAGGATACATACCAAACTGTGGAAACATGGAAGGCAGAGAAGGATAAGTTTCACTTTTTACGTTATTGACTCAAATTTCTCAAAAAATATTTATTAAAGAAAAAATTATCCATGACACTTGTTAAAGATGGTAGGGGACATTTTATTCAAAAAGGGTCATGGCAATAGTTATAAGAACCACTGGAACAAGGTCTTGTAGTGAGACTGAACTCAGCTCCTACTCCAACATGAACAAGTGGAGATGTATAACCAAGGAGCAGGGAGGAGATCAGTGGATAGGAAATTACTAAGAGGAAACATTAAGGGTGAGGACTAAACTCTGATCTTTTTCTTTTGCTAAAAACTCTTTCCTAAGGAGGCCAGCTGGGTCAGGCTGACAAACGCTAAATTCCCACTAAGCAGCTTTTGTTAACCAAATAAAGTGGTGATTTACTTCCCAATCAGATTCTGGTATGGCATTAACATCACCTAAAAGATAAGAAGCCCCTATCATAACTCAAGCATCCTAGCAGATGCCTATCATAAATTTAAAATATCTTAACTCAAGCATCCTAGCAGATGCCTATTCGCAAATTTAAACATCTTAAGGCAGTCTTAAAGCATCCTAGCAGGCGCCTTTCGTAAATTTAAAATGTTTTCCTGTCTGGACCTCCCAGAGTGCTCACACCCTTATCTTAAAATAAGCATATCCTTTCTGGTCTTCTAGATAAAGTCTAACTCTCTCAGCCAATTGCCAGCCAAAGAATCTTTAAACCCACCTATAACCTGTAAGCCCCCGCTTGGAGATGTCCCACCTTTTGGGGCCAAACCAATGTATGCCGCTCATGTATTGATTTGTGACTTTGCCTGTAACCCCTGTCTCTCTGAAAATGTATAAAACTGAACTATAACCCAGCCACTGCGAGTCCACTTGCCCAAGGCCTCTTGGCAGTGGCTCTGGGTCATGGTCCTCAAATTTGGCTCAGAATAAATCTCTTTAAAATTATTTTGCAGAGTTTGGCTTTTTCTCGTTGACAAGGGTGAGGGGTTTCTGCCTAAACCGACTAGATAGAACTTTTCCTGAAGGCAGCCAGGTTGACAGGATACTGAGGGCAGTCAGATATCAAGGGTAAGAGGAAGTTTTGCTAACCTGACTTAGCAGGATTCTTGTTCAAATTAGATTCGACAAGGACAGAGAGGGAAGTCCAAGGTCAAGCTTACCAGAAAGGACTCAGGAGCTTGACTAAAGTTTTGGTCTAAGGATAGAGTCGTTGTTATTAACTATATACTACCATATGAGTTTTGTATTGCTGCTGTAACAAAGTACTACAAATTTATTTGAAATGGGTCTCATGGGACTAAAATCAAGGTATTGGCAGGGTTGCATTCCTTCTGGATGCTCTAGGGGAGAATTGGTTTCCTTACATTTTCCAGCTTCTCAAAGCTGCCCACATTCCTTGGCTTGTGGCCCCTTCCAGCTTCAAAGCCAGCAATCACACCGTCTGACCACTGCTGCCATCAACACATCTATTTCTTCCACTATCCTGCCTCCTTCTTTCACTTCCAGGGCTCTCTGTGATTACACTGAATCCACCTGGGTGCTCAAGAATGATTTCCCCATCTCAAAATCCTCAGCGTCAATCACATCTGCAAAGTCTCTGTCCACGTGAGGTAACAGATTTACAGGTTCTGGAAAACAGGAAGTATATATCTTTGAGGTGGGGGAGGAACATTATTCTGCTTACCACAATCACTAGTTCAACTAAAAAAAAAAATTTCAAAAAACCTTACAGTATAAAATTTTTCTCATCACTAAAAGCTCCTCATTATCATAATTCTTAATAATGCCCAATATTTCACTATAGGGATGTATGACAATTTATTTAACTGGTCCTCCAGTTTGCTATATTAGTATTTAGGTGGCTGTATATTTTCATGATTAAAGATGATGATTTTTGGCCAGGCACGGTGGCTCACGCCTGTCATCCTAGCTCTCTGGGAGGCTGAGGCAGGCAGATTGCTCGAGGTTAGGAGTTCAAAACTAGCCTGAGCAAGAGCGAGACCCCATCTCTACTATAAATAGAAAGAAATTAATTGGCCAACTAATATATTTAGAAAAAATTAGCCGGGCATGGTGGTGCATGCCTGTAGTTCCAGCTACTCAGGAGGCTGAGGCAGGAGGATTGCTTGAGCCCAGGAGTTTGAGGTTGCTGTGAGCTAGGCTGACGCCATGGCACTCACTCTAGCCTGGGAAACAAAGTGAGACTCTGTCTCAAAAAAAAAAAATGATGATTTTCGTGACAAACATCCTCAGGCCTTTTGGGAGATGTGTTGAATCAGAAAGGGGTTAAGGAAATGAATGGACTTGGTAGTCAGAAAGACCTGAGTTCAAATCTAGCCTCTGCCTCAAGTGATCCTCGTCATTGGAGTCTTGATTTCCTCCTTTGCAAAAAGGGGATTCTACAAAAACTCCAACCCTGTAAATTTTTTTGTATTTTTTAATTGATATACCATTGTACATATTTGGAGGATATATGTGATATTTTGATATATGTATATAATGTGTGTAATGATCAAATCATGGTAATTAGAATATCCATCACTTCAAATCAGAGATTTTTTTAACTGTTATATTAAAATGTAACTCACACATCATACAATCCACCCACTTAAAGCGTAAAGGCAAGGATTTTTTAGCCTTGTAGGGTTTTTGCAGGATTCAGTGATGTGGAACACATAAATTGTCATCACTATTAATAATTCTTTGTTTACAATCTTCATTATTTTCTTAAGCTAGGTTCCTAAGAAGCAGCAATGCATGGCAAAAACCTGTAAGCCTCTCAAATATTTTGAAAACAGACCTTCTGCAGATAGAAGGTGGTCTTCAGGGGGAGTTAAAAATGTGTTTGTTTTTGGTTTGGGGAGGTTTGGGGTGTTTGGATAGAATTTGGGGGCATAGGAGGAGTTGGTTTGAAAGTGTTGAGTTATTTGACACTAGATGCCCTCTTTCATTCCCCCCTGCACAATCCTGAATTCTACTCACCCCCAAACTGCACGTACAGAGTAATTCGGCCGAGTCAATTCTAGTTCGCAGAACTTCCCTGCCCTGTCACACAGCCCTGCAGAGCTACCAGCCTGCTTCTCTGCGTGCCCAAGTAAGACTCCTTCAGCGAGGGCTGCCTGGGTACCACCCCCAATTGCCTGTTTTTACTCAAGCCAGGCCAGCTTCATGGACAGCCAGCAGGAACAAGAGGCAGGGAATCTCTGCAAGTTCTGCGCCCAACCCACCTACCAACAAACTATAAACACATATTCCATTTGGCCGTGGGAGGATTGACTACAAAGTTTCAGGGCTGAGTTAGTGAAGTGTCAGCCGATTCCAGGAGTGTCTTGCACCAGAGTGGTGTGTGGGTGAATCCTCAGGCATCCTGCAGGTGCGGGAGCAAGTGACGTGAGATGGGTGTGGGTTGGGTGGTGAGGGATGAGTGGAAGGTGCAGGGAGGATGGGTGGGGTCAGAGGTGGGTGAGGGTGGAGATGAGGATTGGGGCCGCAGCAGCTGAGGTTGGACACAGTAGTTAGACAAGTGGTTTGGAATCATTTTTGGGTCATGGCCTCCTTTGGCAATCTGATGTATGAGAAGGAAAGAATGTGCGTGCACACACACACACACACATACACAAATTTTGCACCTAGTGCCAGGGTTTCCTGGAATCCAGGAAGCTCATCCAAGGGCTCAGGATTAAGAATCTCTGGTCTGGACTAGTTCATAGAGACTTGTCAGAAACAAATCCTAAAGCTGCATTAAGAGCCCAAGAATGTTTATGTCTTTAGTGTGAAAGAGATTTATGGAGGTTTGGAGGTTTGGGAATTAAATTCCAAGTCCACTAATTCCATAAAGGTTTGTTTTCTTCCAGTTTTTATTTTGAACACTTTCAAATCTACTTTCAATTTCAAACTGAAATTGAATAAAGAGAATTTCAATTCTCTGAAAAAGTTGCAAACTTACATACACTTCAACTACCTTCACTAATTGCCAAAATTTACCCCCAATTTCTCCAATCACCACTGCCCCATGTGTGCTAATGCTGTCAGGGACACATGTTTTTCCAGAGAAAAAGTTGCAGATATTATGATACTTCATCCCTAAATACTTGGCATATAACTCCTAAAATCAAAGGATTCTCTTTCATTACCATAACACCATGATCACACTCATAAAATTTAACATTGATACAATACTATGATGTAATATACACTCTATATTCAAATTTCCCCAGTAGTGTCCATCTGTGAGCTGTATTCTTTCTCCCTCCCTCCTTCCTTTCCTTCCTACCTTTTTAAAATCCAGACTTTGATTCAGAATCCTACACTGCATTTAGTCATGTCTCTCAGTCTTCACTAATCAACAACACTACTCCAGGGTTTTGTTTTGTTTCTCTTGTGATATTGATATTTTTTAAGAGTCCAGGCTAGCTGTTTTGCAGAATGTCCCCCAGTTTGCGTTAGATTCAGGTTGAACATTTTTAGCAGGAGTACTATATGGGGGATGTGTCCCTTCTCAGTGCATCACATCAGAGGGTCAGTTGGTTCCTTACTGATGATAAGATTGATCCATGATTAAGGTGGTGACCTCCAGGTCCCCTTTCGTAACCCATAAGTCTTCTGTGGGGTAACACTGTATTCATTGGAGGCCCCCAACTGTAGCCAGTGCAAAGCTGGTGATGAGCATTCAGTTCCAGTCCTTGCTGTCATACTGTTTTTACAGGGGAGGGAAACAAATAATGACAAGATACGAAGTTTTATGAAGGATGTGGATAGGGTACTGAGATAGAGAAGTATCAATTCTAGATAAAGTGATCTTTAAGGCGAGACTTGAAGAGGAAAAAGGAGTGAGCTGTGGGAAGGTGGGAGTGGCGGTGGTAGAGGTGGCCCATGCCCAAGCGGTGAAAGATGGAAGGAGATGAAAGATGGCTGTGTGGTGGTGTCAGGGAGGGAAAAGTGATAGGAAAAAGGCCCTAGGTCTGGCAATAATAATATAAAACACTTAATATCTTAATAGTGAACGCAGTTCTAAGCATTTTCCATGGTTTACCTTGTGTAATTCCCCCTGCAGCATTGTTAAGTGAGTGCCAGTACTGGTTTTACGCTGTAAAATCTGTAGCACAGAGAGGTCGAGTAATTGCCCAAGATCACACAGCTTGTAAGTAGCAGGGCTGGGTAGATTTAATTCCACAGTGTGTGCTCTTAGCTCTATCAAGGCGGAAGGAGCGAGGTCTCATTTAGAAAACAATGTGAAAAAAGTCAGAGCAGCCTGGACTGGGTGAAGAGGTTCTGTTGATGAAGGGTGTGGGATGGGAAAGCAAGACAGAAGAAAGGCCCAGAAGAGCAAAGACAAAAGAGTTTCAGGTCTAGAAGGCAGAATCGTAAGACAGGCCAGCTTGGTTGCCCCCCCTCCAGCCCACTCCCAACCTCAACCCCACCCCCAACCCCTAGCCTGTCCCTTCAGGCAGGACTTCTGCTCTCTCTCCTCCCAAACAAACACGATATTTACAGAGTTTCAAAGTATCTCCCCACAAATTACTTATTAATTACAAAGGGACAAAATTATAACTTTACAGAGGCGCAACCTGGCCGCCTCCAGTTAAACCAAGCGACCACAGTGGACAACCAGAGAGTGTTCTCAGGGAAGGCTCTGGAAGAGAACTTGGGGAAAGTGCAGGAGAAGGGTTTTGTGAGGAGGTTCTAGATGAAGACCGAGTGGGAAGACTTGGGGGGTTAGCAGTCTATGGGGACAGGGCAGGGTCCAGAGGCAGGAGAGGGTGTCTCTGGGAGGGAGGGAGAAAACTTGAGGCGGGGGAGGTTCGAGGGTTACAAGCGAGTCGCTGGGGAGGGACTCGAAGGGAACAATTTGGGTGAGCAGAGGGTCAGAACAGGGTCAGCATGGGAGGTCCCGGGGTGGGTGGCCCGAGGCGGAGGGGTCGGAGTAGGCGTGTCCAGGACAGTCCAGAAAGGGCAGGGATTCCAGGGGCAAGGCCCCAGGGCAACAGTCGGCGGGCCCGGGCGGCCGGGTGGTGAGCGGCCGGCCGGCGGGGGACGAGAGCGGGACCGCGGGGCGGGGCGGGGCGGGGCGGGGCGGCGGGAGCCGGGGGCGGGGCGGGGCGGGGCCGCCGGCGGGTCCCCCCACGCTGCAGGGGGCGCTGTGAGCCAGGGCGGCCCCAGGCCGGGCGGCGGCCGCTCCTAGTGAGCGCGGCCCCTTTTCCGGGTTTCCTCCGCCTCCTCCTCCTCCTCCTCCTTCTTCGCCGCCGCCGCCGCCGCCGCTGCTGCCCCTTTCCCGGCCGGTGGCCGCCGGTGCCGTCGCCGCCGCCGCCGCCTGGGGGCCGCGAGCCGAGCGGAGGTCGCCGCAGAGCGGAGCACGCCCGCCCCGCGCCCCGCCGCCGCTCCAGGGCCGGCCGCTCGGCCGGCGCCCCCGCGCCCCAGCCCGCCCGCCCCGCGGGCCGCCTGGCGCGGGCGCCCGCCGCCGCTCTTCTCTCCTCCTCTCAGCGCCCCGCGGCCGGCTGCCGCCTCGGCCCGCCACCCGCGCCCCTGCCGCGCCGCCGCCGCCACCCCCTGCTTCCCGCGCCGCCCCCCGGTCCCGCCCGCCATGCCCGGCCCGGCCGCGGGCAGCAGGGCCCGGGTCTACGCCGAGGTGAACAGCCTGAGGAGCCGCGAGTACTGGGACTATGAGGCTCACGTCCCGAGCTGGGGGTAAAGCCGCCGCCGCCCCCTGCCGGACCCGCCGACCCCTCCCCCGCTAGGCCGCCCCCCTCAGACCGCGCTCGGCCGGGGTGATCTGTCTCCCCGCCGCCCCTCAGCTGGGCCGGCGCTTCCGCGGGTCTGCGGTGGGAAGCAGAGTCCCCCATCTCGCACATGTTCCCGATTTCCTCTCCTCACCCCACCCCCCGTATGGTCCCTTTCTCCCCGCTTTGCGCACCCTTTTACCCCTGGCAAGAAATGCTTTCGGAGTGGGGGGAGAAATGTAGGGTCCAGGAATCAAAGCCTGGTGGAAGTAGGGAGAGCAGCCCTTTCGCCTCAGACTTTTGGGTTTCTGTTGGGGTGGGGAGTCAGCAGCTGTCCTCTTGAGCTATTAAAATTCTCTGCCTTTTTAGTTTTTTGAAATGAGGCTAGGTGGGAGGACATTTCTTAAAGACGTCCAGATTCTCCAAGCGGGCACTATCTATCTACCTTCAGGGTGTAAAATAGGAAGCAGGTGTTGTGGAGCCATGGGGCAGAGGGAACATCCTCTGGGCTTCCAGAATGGATGCTTTGCTGGCCCCTCTAGGTCGGCTCAGAGAGTTGCTTTCCTACTCCCTCTCCGCAAGTTATGAGGGACCAATTAGGTTAGGAGCTCTGCAGAGTGAAGGGAGCCAAGTTTATGTTGTAGCTTTCATTTAGGGAATGAGTTGTGGCTGATGTACAGACACTTCCAAGTGTTTGATTAATGGAAGTGACTGAATGGAGTGTACAGTGGGCGTAGGCTTGGTTAATCCAAAATCTTGGTATTTATGTGTGTTTCTTACCTTTCACAGTAATCAAGATGATTACCAACTGGTTCGAAAACTTGGTCGAGGAAAATATAGTGAAGTATTTGAGGCCATTAACATCACCAACAATGAGAGAGTGGTTGTAAAAATACTCAAGGTGAGTGTCCTATGAGCGATACATAACATTTTTCCCCCCACAGGTCAAAAGGATATAAGCCATAGTCTAGAAAGAACAGTCAGTGCAAGCTCATATGTTATGTACTTGTCTGTTGTTAATCCATTACTTCTCCCACCCAGTTTCCTGTGAACTTTCAAGAAAATACACAGACTGATCTCAAATCTAAGTATCATAGTTCAGGAACTTCTTTGTTCGAAACTGCAAATTATGGGCACCCAAAGCAAAAATTCCAAAAGGGCTCATTTGTTACAAAATAAATAAGTATTCAAAAGAAAGAAAAGCCTTTTCATGGAGATTCCATCAATTTAAGGGCTCCTTGAGTGCTATGCTTGTTACTCTTGGGGTTTTAAGTTAATCCAGAAAGAAAGTTAGGAAAAATTGGAGCAGCTTCAGAGGTGAATTTGAAGCCCAAGTGGAGGGAAACTCCTCAGTGGATAATCACTTGTTCGCCTTTGGCTATAAAGTTTCAGGTGGGTTTGATACAGTGAGCCTCAGTGTCCGGAAGCCCTGTTGGGGAGCCAGTTAGGCTCTGTTGCTTATCAGCTAGTAAAAGTGAAATTTGGAACACTAAAAGGGTACACTTATGATCACTAAAACAATAATTGGAACAAAACCGTCTTAATATCTGGTTTAGCAGTCTCAGTTTGATAATGATGCGTTTTGTTATCTCTTGGATGAAGATGTGATTTTAATGAGCAGGAAGAATTGGCTAAATTTTCTTTCAGGTAACAGACTGTATAGCTTTAAGGTTTTATGGGGTATACTGAAAAGTAATTCTTAGAGTCTCTGATGGGTCCTTATTATTGCCAGATCATTTAACATGTGTACATGTCATTTAGTGAAAGATTGAGAAGACTGAAGAGATACAAGCACTTTTACGTATACACGATTTCCGGTGTGGCCATTTTGCAGAGGTTCTGTGGAATAAGAAAAAGACTGTAGGATTGAAGAGCTGTTTTTGTGTGTTAGGGGAGCTGTGTAGGTAATCCCTGTTTAATGTGAGGGGTCAGACCTACACTTGCTGGTAATTACCTTTCAGAAAAATAGTCAACTCCATCATTCAGTATCATCCTAGCCTAGTGATGAAAGAGCAGAATTGCGGTAAAGAGAAATAGGCAAAGTTATTTGTGCTGTCAAACACTGGGGATAAGAAGTGAGGAACTGATGTTGCAGATAAGGAGTTTGACTCCTCTCTTCCCTAAATAGTTGCACCTATGAAGTCACAAAGTCTTTTTTATTTTTAAACAAGCATAAATGTTTAAAGAAATGTTCCCTTCATAGAAATTACCTGGGGAAGCCGTATGTTTTCTTCATGTACATACCTGTAAATGCTTTGAATATAAACTGCTTGAAATCTTTCTAAGAAGTGAGCAAGGCATAAATTGAAATTAGGAATACCTACATTCTACTGCTGTGCATTCAGAAGAATGAATTGCTGACTCTAAAGCAAGTACAGAAAAATATCTAAACTTTTGTGCAACGACAGCATTTTAGGATAAGTGTGCAATTTCCTGTGGTGTCTTTTTCAGAAGGAACAGCATTCAGGTGTGTGTATAAATACCATTGTGTTCATTCAGGAAAGCATCACATTGTTGTTTAGTCATCCTTGTAAAGAACTTCATAGAGTCAGTTGCTGGATAGTTTTCCCTGCTCTAAAGATTCTCAGGATATATTAGGAAACCCAGTAAGAAAGCTGCTGTAGGTTATTTTTATAAAATAGGAGACCTCAGCAACAAAGAAACTTATCTAACATCGTTATGTTGAAATGACCCTTAGAACTCCTAGAACAAAACTTCTGTTTCCTATTTCTTCATGTTTCTTATTGCTCATTTTAACATTGGATTGTAGGATCATAAGTTTGAGCACAGAAATAAGTTCCAGTGTTCTGGAATAGGACTTGGGGACCCCTTAATACTCTATTTAGTGAAGTGTTTCTTGTTTCTTTTAAACATGGTTTCTTTTCATGGTGTAGCCTGGATCACCTTGTTTCCACTGATAAACTATACTCCTTTGTTTTTCAAAGCCCTGTGGCATTTCTGTCCAGATCTTGTTATCTTAAGGATGGGGTAAGAAACCATTAATGGTATTGTAGTTTTGTTGTTAAAGTGGATTAAAATATTATTTTTTTAAAAAGGAGAGGGTCTTTATCCAAAGTTGTGCTGCTTTATTCAAATAAGTTGAAATTATGACTAATACCTACTTTTGTGGTCTTTGGTCATAGGAAATGAGGGCCTTAACAGCTTACCAGTTGCTCCTAATTTGGAGGAATCTAGAAAAGGCTTCCTTTTCATATAAGCTTACTGTATTTCAGCTGCAGGATTGCAGTTGAATTACTGTACCTATGTATTGTACACATAGTGACTGAGACAGAGGGTACAGACAGGCTGTCTTCCTTTTTTAGTCAATAACATTGCAAATCATTTGTTTCCAACGTGTGAGAATGGTTGGATGATGAATGACTACAGAGGAATTTCATATCATTTAATTGACATCAGTAGATTTCCAAGTATTTTATCTATCATAATAATGTAGGCTATTAAGAAGATTTAGGAATTTAGAAAATGGTGAACCAAATTTTACTATCTATCCTCAAGTGAAATTCTGGGACTAAAATTTTAAAAGAAAACTGTCCAATCAATAGATTATATCTTTTTTGGCAGAGACTGTTTTGAGGAGAAAAGAGGAAAAAGAGGGGGAATGGTAAGGGTTAGAAACCTGCTCTAGTGCTATAAGTTTTATCTTTTGGTTCTGAA